GAGAGAGAGAGAGATATGGCACCATTATTTATAATAGCCAAAAAATAACCCAATGTCCAATGGATATATTATGGTGCAGCTATATAATGGAATATTATTCAGCCAAAAAAAGAATGAAGCACTAATATTTCATTCAACCTGAAACCTTGAAAACATTATGCTAAGTGAAAGAAACCAGTCACAAAAGACCATGATGTCACTTACATAAAATAACAAGAATAGGCAAATCTATAGAGACAGAAGTGGTTGCTTAGAACTGAAAGATTGGGAGGGAGTGGGGAATGACAACTAATGGATATGGGGTTTCTTTTGAGTGTGGTGAGAATGTTCTAAATTGATTGTGTTAATGGTAGCACATCTCTCTGAATCTACCAAAAATAATTGAATTACACATTTTAAAAGGGTGAACTTTATGGTATGTGAATCATATCTCAATAAAGCTGTTAAAATTTTTTTTACAAAGCTTAGGATCTTCGTATTTGGGACACTGACTTACTATGTGAGATTTTGTTTGGGTTTTCCACTTTGATTTACAATGGTTGCCTTGTGCTTGCCCTACCACAGCTATTTGGAGTGAGCTTCCAGCTATTGGCAAACTGCTCTGCCACTGACTCTGAAATAAAGTTAGCTTTTGGTCAGTATAGTTTTAGAAGATAATCTTTCTGCTGCTCTATTCTTGATGCTGGCAGTGCCAGGCATTTTTGTGGGCTCTCCCAGCCTGCCGCATATTCTCTATGCCCCATAGGAAGGACTTCACCATTTCTGCCTAGGGTCTTCCTGAATCTGGAGTTTTCCTGTATCTCTGGAGCACTGGAATCCAGGGAGTTATTTTCCTATGTAAATAAACCAGTAAGCTGGCTGGGCTCTGCTTCTTGTCTTCATCTACTTGCTCCATATCCTAGGGGTTGAGTCTAGTACTCTCACTTCTTGCCTCAGCACAAATGGATTCCCAGTATAAACCAGAGGATCTGAGATTTCTCTACTCTGTACTTCTAAAGTGAAGACTTTGGCCCACTCTCCATCTCTGCTTTCTATATCATCTACTCCAGGATCTCAATTCCTACTTGAACTCAACCAGATTTGCTGTCCCTACTTTAAGGATGCAGCCTCTGCCTTTGTCATCCTAATCTCAGTCACCAAGAAGCTATCAATTTTGTCACTTTTCTACCACCCCTTTCCCTCTACAACTTATTTCATATTTGTCCAACCTCTCCTTAGGTAAAGGGGCAGAATGCCTTCCATAAATAAGAAATATACCAGGTGAGAATTGCAGCAAAATGATGAACTTACCCCATCTAAAGAGGGTCTCCCACCATACCCCTGCTGATTACTGCTGTATCAAAATCAGACCAGTGCTGCCAGATCTGCCAATTTGTCAAGGACATAAAAAGTCGTATTTTAAAGCAAAATGTCCTAGTCTATAAAATTTGGCTCAATTTTTCAAGATGAATGGGGGAAAAAAAAAACTCTGAAGACTAACATAAAACATATCTGTAGGCCAAACTTAACTCAAGGACCACCATTGTTATATATCTACTTGGGATCTGCCCAACCCATCTCCCATTCTCCCAGCAGCAGTCTGCATTCTGCTACAGTGAGCTCACACCAACAGTTCTGACATAACAACACATAACAGGCAAAAGAAAAGTACTGAATAAATATGAATGATAACTGTATAAACACAAAAGATAGTGTTATTTTCATGTCTCAGGTGAAATCCTATGAAGTGTACGTGTAGAACCATCAGGAGGCAGTGTGGTCGCTTCCTAAAGAAGATATTTCTCCAATGATCAAATCCGAGTTCCAGTTTTTGTTGTTTGAAATGGTCTTTGATTCTGGTGAGAACCATTAAAGCAGTTATGTAAAGAAATCCAAATCAACACAAAATAATTATACCTAAAAGATCTAAGTAATCTTTTTTTTTCCAATGCATCACTTTACCCTACCAGTTTAAAAATCCCTCTTACTTAATTCTCTGTCTAACCAAGCCAAAGCTGATTTATAAATTGATCCCTCATGGCAGACCCAGGTCATTTATGCAAAATGTGATGTTAATCATTGTGACAATATCAAATTCCTACTAAAGTAGGTGGATTTTTTTTCCTAAGTAAAAGGCATTGTTCAAAGGTAATGATATGGTCATTAAGATGTCTTCCTTACAAAAAGAAAAAAATCAAATTATGAGTAGCTTGACATCCAGATTTGCATACTTCAAACAGCTGTGCATCCTAGATATGTTAATGAATGTTTAAACTTAAATTTGTAGTCTGTGGAAGGAAAGATAATCCTAGGTAGGTATCCACTATAATAGGTAATATACAAAGAATTAACATCACATGTATGTATAATACACATATATATTTGTGTACATGTCAGACACACTTTAAAGCAGCAAGAAATTATAATAAAACTCTGCTGGTGAATGCTTCCTTGGCATATCCACATTTTCTTTATTAGTTATTATTTCTCTACTCATAAAGCTTATAGTCTTTCCCACATTTTGCTAATCAAATTAGCATTTATCATGAAATACTATTTCATGAATTTTTTAAAAAGGAAAACGAGAATAAATTTAGCTTAGGCTTACCAAATAAATAAACCCATCCTCAGAAAAATTAAAAGTTCAACCACCGCTCAAAGATCAACTAGAATGTGCTATTTATATAACCCTGGGCAACCTTCTTGAAACTTCGTGAGTCTCTGCTCATCTGTAAAATCGAAGGCTAAGTCAAAACAACTGCTAGGATTTCTTCTAAATCTGACACTAGATGATTGGATTTTCCATCAAACCCCTAAAGTTTCACTAGGATTCTGTCTGTATCTCTGCTACCCCATACAATCAAAAAGTGTTATACTGAATAAGGAAAAATATGTTGATTATGCCGATGATAATCCACCGTGTAGCTAGCCACCATAGATATATTAAACATAAACAGACACACTCCCCGCAACACACACATACACACACACACTCAATATTATTAAAAACAAGAAATACTGAATGTTGGCTTTCTGTAAACTCTCTCTTCATCCCAGGACAAGTGTTGCTGAAACTTGTCGAATTTGAGTATCACCTAAATTTTTATTCACTTAAAAGTACAATTTAAGTTTTAAGTAATGTCACTTTTTTTAAAATTAGGTGCACCCTAAACAATTATAAGCTTGACGGTGTTAGCATTATGCATTTTTCCTAATAAGATTTAAAATAAATACAGTCAATAAAATAAAATAAGATAAAATTCCTCCAAGTACCATATGGTTGAGGGTTGCATACCCTCAATGATAAACATACTAAATTTTGGAAAATATCAGAGTAGCTTATGAAAAGGAGGATATACACACTGGTCTAGAATATAAGATTTTGTGTTAGAGGAACCTACTATGGTAATACTTCCATTGCATTTATTACAATAGAAAATCATCAACTGTTACATCCATTACCTTTCATTAGTTATTTTAAAAAGGGGACAATAGGACCACTTGTTAATTGGTAAAGTTTTTGTTTTACATATGAATTGGCATAAATCCCACTCTCGTTGTGCCAAGTGTTAATGCCAAATCTTTTGGAACCATTTAGATCTGTGAACTGAGACCGGCATTTTCTGTGGACTATTGAATAATCATCTTGACAAGGATAATCCTATGGGGAGAAAAAAAGAATATTAAATGACTGAAATATGTAAAAAGGAGTGATTTCCAAAAGTTGATCTTTAATGTGTTAGTCTTACTAACACAGGTTCAAAGGTTAATTTTCAAACAATTGAGTAATTTAATCTTTCAAATTACTAATGCTTCTTGTATTTGGCTGTTGCAGTTATAAATACTTCTAATTCTGAAAGAAGAATCTAGTTCATGGTTGTTTTATCTATAAAATTAAAATGATAAATTATTATATATGTAAAATTTTCTAAACCATAAATATACAGCATAAAGAACAATTTAAATTGTATGACCATCTACATGAGACAAAAACCAATTACAATTTAACTACTATTTAACACTTTTTAAAATTAATATGTTATAATCATTCCAAAGAATAATATCTTGGGTTATATTTTTAATAATTACTATCAAGTCATACTTGCCAGTGAATGACAAGTTCAAAGATTCATTCCTATTAGAAATTTACCTCAGTATAACCCAGTATAATATTTAAGGTATTTATCCTTAAAGGCTTCATAAAAGCTTCTATTACAAAACAAGATACTATCATTGACTATTTCCCAAAGGAAATATTGATTCCTTCAGTTTACATCAAGGGTAATGATAGATGAGGAACATAAAGCCCCTGCACTGATTACCTAATTTCTGCTTTAAATTGGTACTAATCTTAAAGCAGTAAGACAATATTGAAATTAAATCACCAAAACTATAAAACAATGAAAAAAAACCAAAAGAGTTCTAATCTTAGATGAGCTTTATCAAAATTAATTGAAAATTCTAACCATATGTTCAACCATAGCAACCATTATAGTATCTATTTACTGAGTGCCTATTATGGGTTGAACATGGTAGTTGAGTATTTGTAACTTTTAATTCATAACAGGAACAGGCTTTATTACTCCCACTTTACATATAAGAAAAGACTATTTGCTTAAAATTTGAGGAGAGAATTTAAAGAATGCCAATATTAAGTGATTCATCCAGAATTTCAAGCTATCTGCCTGTAAGGCATATTATCCCTTCAGGACTCTCATGAAATTCTTAATAATTAAGAGATAAAATATATAAACAATAAAATCCGAAAGCTCATAATATCCAAGCCACTTTCTATATAGTTTAGAGCTTTTGCTTTGTGTCACTGGAGGTCTGTTTCTTTGGGGTTTGTTTGTTTTCAGTCAGGTAGAGGCCCTTTAAATGAGATTTGAGCATCATTGGTCAAACTGCCCACTAAGAAGGAAGCAGGATCTGCCCATTCCTACCCCAGTTGCAGCAGAACTAAAGGGAGCTTCACATGCAAGGTCAACATGTTCCTTTAGCATCTCCTAGGCAGAGAGGATGATTTATTTTGATGAGGTGAGTGACAAGATTAAATGTGATGTTTTAGAAAAAGGATTTGGCAGCAGAAAGTACTCAAGACTGAAGGTGAAAAGGACTGGGTTCCAGAACTATGATTAGAATTAGATCTCAACAACTCACTTGTCACCAACTGATGGATGGATAAACAAAATGTGGTCTGTCCACACAATGAAATATTATTTGACAATAAAAGGAAAAAAATATTGGTAGTTTTAGAGCATGGATGAACCTTGAAAACATTATGCTAAGTGAAAGAAGCTAAGCCAAAAGCCACATTGTATGATTCTTGATATGAAATGTCCAAAATAGGCAACTCCACAGAGAGAGAAAGTAGCTTTGTCAGGGGATAGGAGGAAGGGAAGGAATGAGTGATTGTTAATGGATGTGATGGCTAATTTTATGTGTCAACTTGGGATCACGAGGCACCAAGATATTTGGCTAAACATTATTTCTGAGTTGTGTCTGTGAGAGTGTTTCCGGATGAAATTAGCATTTAAATTGGTGGACTCAGAAAAGCAGTTTGCCTTCCCCAACGTGGGTGGGCATTATCCAATCCAGGGAGAGCCTGAATAGAAGAGAAAGGCAGAGAAAGTAAGAACTAGCCCCCTCCTGCTTGATTGCTTGAGCTGAGACATTCATCTTATCCTGCTCCTTGGTACTTCTGGTTCTCAAGCCTTCAAACTTGAAGTGAATCACATCACTGGCTTTCCTGGGTTTTTAGCTTTGGTTTTGTTTCTGTAGAGAAACTTGACTAATACAATGGGTATGGGGTTTCTTTTTAGGATGGTGAAAATATTCTGAAATTGATGGTGGCAATGACTGTATGACCCTGCAGATATATTAAAAATCACTGAATTGCCTGCCTTAAATGGGCAAATATTATGGCACATAAATTAAACCTTAACAAATTATATCTCAGTAAAGCTGTTATTTTTTAAAAATGGATAAATAGGGGTGAGCAATTCTGAAGTTAGGAAAACTAATTAAGAGGTTGTTGCCTGTTAACACACATAAAATTGAGTGCCTCCCATTATCAGAGATGTATTGGTACAACAGCTCCCCACTCCCCACAAAAACCCCCACAAAACTGATGTGTAATATTTGCCAATTTCTGTGATGTAAATATTCCTTTCCCAGGAGATAGGAAGAAGAAGAGGAATGAGGAGTGAGGAAACCATGGCTGACTTCAAGCTACCAAGTAAGGTCACTAGCAAACAATAAGTTGGGAAGACATGAGCATATTTATCTCATGGAAACTTTAAGAGTTGACTCCAACTCATCCTGAATCCACCTCTCCCATTTCCCACTGTACAGTAGCCAAGCAGTTTGAGTAGGTTAACTCCCTTCCAGCTTTAGAGACAGAATCTAATTGGCCAAAAAAAAAAAAAAATTAGGATAATCTCAGTCCACTCTCAATGATAGTGATTGGTTCCATGTTAGGCATGTGATTTGAGTTTGTCGAAACAGCTTAAAGCCTGAGACTTCTGTTCAATGGCTCAGGGAGAAAATGCTCTTTTCTCATTACTGGACATAAATAAGAAAGTATCTAGCCCAGGTTGCTGGTGGCAGTCTGCCTATAATCAGTATAGCATGAAACCAACACCATAAAATGCAGATTTGAGAGTTAGTGAAAAGTACAATGACAGTGCTGTATCAATCCTTTCCTGAAGCCAGACTTCTCAAAAAATATGAGCCAATAAATTGCTTTTACTGCCTAATCTGGTTTGAGTTGGTTTTTGTACAACTTACTAAAAGCATCCTATTATATACCTGAATAACCTGCAATATGGGAACACCGAGGTATTGAGAGTCAGAGCAAGGAAATGGGTCAAAAACAAGAGAGCTGGGCATATAAAAAAAGTAGGAGGAAAGGCAAATAGTAAATTTGTGCCTAAGCATACACTTAGGAATTAGAAGGATACAACCATAGAATAGGTGAATACAGAAGGTTTTAAAAAATAAGAACAATTAGGAGCCAGGAGAGTATAATTATTATAAGGAAGCAGAACAAAGTACGTTTTTCAAAATTTAATGCAAAAGGCACAAAATAGAATAGAAAAAAGCAGCTTCATCAAGAACCACCTTAAAGGGTCTTAATATTGACTGCATCTCACACCCAAAGCCAAACTAAGATGGTGGGAGTTTTGGACAAGCAAGTAATTTGGTGCACCTCTTAAATCAAGTATATAGGGAGGGGGTAATCATTTCAAAATTATTAGTAGTTTTCCCCTGACAGTGTGTATAACCACCCATTTATTCAGGAGGAGATCAAAATTTGTTTCAGAAAAAAGTGGCAACCAAAGAGCAAATTAATATCACCTTCTAATGCAAAATACAGTTTTTCCAAAAGAAAATCCAATTCACACACTGGAGGATTTTAGAATATCAATGATCACACCTGGGAAGACTCAGATCATAGATTTCTCCAAGCATGTAGAAAAAACATCCTTTGCCATTAAGGCTTAAACAAGAGTGGGAATGGAGACGAGGAAGATAGAGAAGAAGTCTGGGGCACTGTAGGAAGGAGAAAATAAGGGAAAAGGGAAGCAGGACAGCTGAAATAGTCAACATAGCTCCCAATTGTCCCATCCCTAGACTTAAATCAGACCGAGTCCCACTGACCTGGACAGAGAGAAGTGCATTAGATAAATGAGAATAATGGCTGAAAGGAATAAGGGGTCTCCTGACCCCCATCTCTCATAAGAACTCGAAACAGACCAACTCTAAGGCTGTCTTTTCATCTGCCTGGGGCACAGCCAAACCCAAACTGGTAGAGCAGTATAGTTAAGCAGAGGGGGGCTCTGAGAATCATCAATCCTGAGCCACATTTGGTGTCCTGTGGCATAAATAAGATCCTGAAGAAGTTGCAAGTCTGCAGAGGGGATTCAACTCTCAGCTGCAGAGTTGAGCATTGGAGCTGGGACTTAATGGGAGTCACAGAAGGCTTTGTGGGGTCAACAGTATCTACAGGAGTGGAAATGAGACAGAGTCATCTCAAACATGCCATGAGGGCTCCAATCAAGCCCAGAGAAAAAGAGTGAGAAATAGAAAAAGACTGACAGTTAACAACATCCACAGACTACAGCCATTTATGCCAGCAAGGAAAAAAGCAACCATCTGGACTAGGGATATCATCCTGGAGACCAGAATAGGCAGAGGGCACCATACAAAAACCCCCGCTCTTCTCCTCTGGCATTGGGATGCTAAGCTGCATCCCTCTTTCCATACACCTGGATGTCATCTTGGCAAGAGATGCAGTCTCTATTGCTGCATAACTGGCCAGCCCGTATGTAGCAGTATAAAACAGTAGTCATTTCCAGAATCTTTGGGTCAGGAATTTGGAAAGGTATAGCTAAGACAGCATCTCTTTGTTTCATAATGTCTGGGGCCTCAGCTCAGACTTGAAAGCTGAGAGTGACTCAAGTACTGCAGTGGAAACATTTCTCATTCCAACTCGTAGTTAATGCTCACTGTCTGCTGGGACTTCAGCTAGGACTGTTGTTGGAACAACTACACAGGTCCTCTCCTTGTGCCTGCATGGGCTTTCTAACAGCATGGTAGCTGGGTCCTGAGAATAAAGATGTTACAAAGAGAACCAGAAGGAAGCTGCATTGCTTCTTA